ATGGGTGGAGGAGGAGGAAGAGGGGGAGGGGGAGGGGTAGCCTGTGGCTCTGCAGGCTTCGCGATCCCTTTCATTGCGGGTGGAGGAGGATCGACTTCACACTTCCTGTCCGGATCGCACATCATCATGGGCACTCCCAGTTTGCCCTGGAAATATGAGGCGTTTGTCTTTCAATGGAGGAAGCCCAAAGAACAAATCTCATTTAGATGTAATATTTTTTTAAAAAACAGAGGTACTGTATTTCATAGTTTAGGGGAAACCAGGTGTGTTTGTAGACACCAAGTTCACAGTCCAAAACCACAGCGCCACAGTTTTAAGCTGAATTTCTCTTTTACCATTCATTACATTAGACAATCTACCAAATGAGGAGATTGAATAGTCAAAGAGGTCACCTAGAATAAGAACACAAATGTTTTTCCATTCACCAAGTATCATATCTATACAGGTCATGTACACCTTTTCAGAGACCCGGGCGTCTGGCTTACCCCCCCAGTGTGTCCAATGCTAGTGCAGTATCTGTAGTAAGCCTGGAAGTCCAGGTTTCCTCGGTACCACCTGGGGTCTGCGTTATGCTTCGGCCTGGAGCGAGTCAGGAACTCATTTGCTTTCTCTGAGTCGATGCTGACATCACTGACTGGGACCATCTCTGTTAAAACAAGAGTTTGTCATTTCTTCAGTCACTTAAAAAGAGAATAAAACTCTGTACTGACAAGTGATCAAATCTGCACTTACCTTCCTGCTCAGTAATCATTTGGCCTCCAGCAATCCTACAGCACAAGACATCATTTAGTGCAGGTTTATTTCCAGTATTTGTGTTTGAGCAGAACTGACCTGGGAGCAACATCGGATACCAGAGTCCCCACCACCCATAATGTAGAAATCATCCTGTACACTATTCACAAAGAAATACACATTTTAAAAGACGATATCTACTATAGGTCAAAAGTTTTAGGTTGTCTGTTTTTACAATTAGTGTAATTCAGCCCACTATCAAATATTGTTCGGCTTGATCGCACCATTACTGAAGTTGTCACAAATGTGTTGCACTTGGTTACTGTGGTTTAACTCTTCATCTGGAAAGGCTGGACTCTGTGCTGGTCGTTCTGTCACGCAAAGACAACGGCCTTGTTCAGGATGAAATGTTATTGACCTTTTTCCATTTAATGCCTCAGGTCCTAACAGTTTTTTTATTCCCAACACCGCCTTTGTACAGATAGAATTTGTTCTAATCACCAAAAGTTTTCAAGGCTTCATTGCTTCATCTGCATTCATGGTAGCAGAAAAGATGTAAGTTACCGTATTTGTTGATTCTTAAAAATAGCAGTTAAGGTTATTCACTGCACATTAACTGCTCACGTCAAAAACTGGAAAAATGGAGGTGTTGCAGTTTTTCACCTGTTATGTAGGGTAATTCGTCCTCTACATTTTTCTTAAGGAAACATTTCTGAAAATGTTTTAGAGAAAGACATTCATCCTGATTTGAGCAAACGTTACTGAAATAAAACCTGAAGCAGCTATGAAAGAGGCCTTATTCCACATAACTGAATAAAATCCACTTTCTAGTGAAGTGATCCAGCACTGTGAACATCTCAGTCACAAATCTAAAAAAAATCCATCAGTTCATGCTTCACTCACCTGGCTCAGGAGACCGTCTTCACCGTACTAACAGGGCTCAGGGGGTTAAATACAGGCCTGTGTCAGCTACCCTGATACATTATCTCCTGTCCAGTAGGATTTCACCAACTTTGAGTAAAACCCCATCTCCACCTTATTTTCTAAATAATGTGTCTTTGGCGTCAATAAGAAATAAAAAGCTCCTAGACTTTAGCAGCAAAGCCATAAAAAGAAGAAACCTCAGATAGAAACTCCCCATTAAGTGTGGAGGGGAACCATCACCTGCTGTGACAACTATGGACAAAACGCTGCCTACTACTATCTCAGCCAAAGAAACAAATGGCGGACGACAGCACATCCTCTGACGTGTTACGTGTGAGATGGTAGAGATTTCCAAAAATTCTCTGCTCTTCCAGGTGCTGATTTTTACCCAGGGAACATCTGGTTTTTTTTTTTTGTTGTTTTTTTTTTTTAAACAAATGCCGTCTTAGCACCTGTTAAATCTGACATGTTTAGGATTGGACCAACAGGAGAAACATCATGAGCTGAAGTGTTCACCCACAGCAGACCTAGAGGAGCCATACAACTAGAAAACTAGATTTTCTCATGAGCAATACAATACAATAAATACCATTACAGTAATCCATTTGCAGCCTGACAAAACTTGTCAGCAGCACTAACATAGCACAAAAACTGGTTTGATTGAGGTAACATGACAAACAGTTGTGGCTTCTTAATCTTGAGGATTTACAGCTCAAATATATAATTTGAAGACCTATTGATTTGAAAATGCTCAATTAGATTGAGCCTTTTCATAATCTGCTGCTGTTCAACCCCAAAACTAAAAGGGTATTTGCTTAACAAAACATATTAGCAATAATTGACTTAATCGAAGTATGTAATAGAGGTTGAAACATGACCAGCCACTACAGTAAAATGCCACATACACATTAATGCATCAATAATGAAATATTTATCTAGTAGTACGCTGCTGACAGACATTTTCCTTTGAACGTTTCTGAAAACTGCAGGACTTTGATGTGTACCGAGTACTTTAACAGTGCAATATTGTTTTTACTAAATACAAGTTTTTCCTCCAAGTGTTTTGTGAAACTGAATCTTGTTAGGACATTTTAAGAAAAGGGTATTTGAAGATGTAACCTTGAGCATTTTCATTTACAGAGCAAATGCTAACGAATGCCTGTATGTTTGCATTTTACAGGCAAGACAGAGAAGGCGATACTGAAAGCAACAATTATGTCAACAATACCAGATGTTCTGAGGGGAACGAGGCAGGCCTTTACATCCTGTTTCACATGCACACAGGCCTCACACACCGGAGAGAACGTGGTACTAAACCACCATTTTATTATAACTATTGCCACAATACATTATTTTATTTTGTCTAATTTGCATCACAAATTTTTAAATATACAGAAATGCTCAATGTCAATTGGATGTTTTAAGCTCTAACCTGCCGATAGCGCCACACTCTGACATACATATTTGCAAGCAATTTAAACAAACAGGAATTTTACACAAAAAAGCAGCAGGTGTTCTTGCAAAATGGGGCCAGTTTTACCAGAACAAAGGGGAAAAAAAGTCCAGGTTGTGCTTGAGTTGTGTTACAAAATACTGCAGCAAGAAAATAAAGAGCCAGAGTTTAAGTCTGTAGAAAGCTCACGGCCTCAAAGAGCCGTGATACCAACGTGTCCCATGTTCCTCAGACAAAGGTGATGCGGCTGCGGGCCTGGTTGATCTGCCACACATTCAACTCCTCATACTCCTCCAAGGCCTCCTGGAACTGGGCAGGGGTGAAGCCACGGGAGATACAACGCTGCTCCGCCTCAGCCATGCGAACAACGCCACCGGCTCCACCCCGACCTGCTGCGCCCTCTGTAGCAAGCTCACGCACCAAAGAGAAGATGACGTCGGCTGGACGCTGGGTTCTGCACACAGGGACAGAATTATTTTGAATTTTAGACATGTGAAGAACATTTGTGTACTTGTTACTGCGTCAGCTTCAAGTTGAGTCAATTAAATGCTTAAGTTTGGAGCCTGCAGAAACCAATTCTTTAACCCTTTTAAATTTGCCCATTTTTGTGCACAGGTGTCTAGTTTTGTCATGAAATCCGTGTCAGTATCTCAGAGGCACACATAGTATTTCATGATCAACACGCAACAAGACTGACAGTAACATATAGCAACAGCAATCCAGAGAAAAGATTAGCATTAGCAGCACAGTAATTACAGCTTTACATGTTATGTCTCTTATTATGGCAAAACTTAACCATGTCAACATATCGAAATATGACAATAAAGGGTTTGACCTAAACACATAAAAAGGTAAGTTACTGACTGGTCTAATATGGGATTCTTTTCTTCCTCAATATACTCGTCTTCAACAGAGGCCAAAATTTCTGCCACACCTTTATAAATTGTCTGATGAGATGCCATTTTAATCATAAATTAAAGAACTGCTGCTGCTCGTTGCTTTCAGTCTGTGCACTCTAGTGCGCTCCGCCTTCTCTTTGTGCGTTAAAGAGTTTCCTAGCGTCTGACCTGCGAGGTAAGCTGTCCCACGTTAGTCGTTGTAATCCAATTCTATTTTAAGTAGCAGATGTCACTGTGGCATTGGAATTCTGAAATGCATTATATCATTAGAATTAAGAGAGCCCCTGCTATCCAATGATATAAAGTTTGTAAAGCTTTATTGGCAACAGGCCGGTGACACTTTCCAATACAGAGAGGTATTTAAATGGCCCACGAGCGACCCAGCAACGTTTATTAACCGAGCATTTCAACATTCTGGGAAACACATTTACTTGGTTTCCAACATGCAACAACCCGTACAACTACAAATGACAATTTTTACACTTTCTATAATTAAAATGATATTTTTGATATCGAGCACTTATTTGTCACCACGACACCGTTTTAAAAAAGCAGAAGCTCAACTCTTGTCCCACTTCCATCATTGTAAACAGCCTACTAGAAGTTTTGAAGCACTACCATAAGAACAGTGCGTGTGTGCCGGGATGTGAGCACGTCGCTAGTCTTGATGCCTGCTTCAGTGAACACGCTGCCATGTGAACAGAGCTCTGTAAAATCCTCAAGCTCTACAGCTTCCTCCAGGATCTGCAGCTACTGTTGCAGGCACACGAGAGGCTAATAAAGTGGGTTCTAGGTCAGACGACATCTGGTCACCCATGTTGTGGAGTTTTAGTAGACCGAATGCCATAATGAGGACTGGTCTGAGTTCCCAGTATCAACACTAACCTTGTGCTACTGGACTTGTCAGCTTGTAGAGAGTCCTTTGACATCTCCATCAGTCTCATTGCTTCATTGACATCTTCCTTTTCCACAGTGTCCACCGTGCGAAGGCGAGCCTAAAGGGGGCCATTCAAAGAAAAAGTGGAGACGGTGAATGAAATGGAAAATATATATACCAATACCACACTAGATGCCTCTTGATTATGTAGGCCGCGCTGTGCCGGCACTGTCAGACCGAGACAAGTGCAATGCCCTCTGGGATGGCTGGCAATTGCCCAAGTCTCCGCCTCTCAACACCAGCTAGTCTCTCTACAAGATGAAAAAACCCCAGCGGAAAAATATAATGGGGGGGGGGGGAAGGGGACAACCCACTGAAGATTATAAAATATACTGATGACAACTCCAGCCATGGTCAGTTTTGCATGGGTTTGCACAGCTGCTCCTAACGCACACAGGCTGACTGCCCACCCTGCAAAGCTGGCCAGGGTCAGAAAAGCCTCTTACAATATTTCACTTGTAGAGTTATTACAAAGGTGTAGCAACTCTGTAGCATTACAACAAATGTAGAGTTCAGCTGATGTGTAAGCTACAGTGCTGCTGTGGCCCAGAAGGCAGTGGTCATGCCCCAACTGAAAGGTCAGAGGTTTGAATCCCATTCTCCCCAAAATGTCCCTTCCAGAAGTGTCTCCCGTGGCCAGAGCAGCACCACAATCTGTGTGTGTGAGAGTCAGCGGCCTTGGTTCTGTACTGGAGACCAATTCCTTGTGTGTAACATACTTGGCCAATAAAAGTGATCACCATTATTCTTTCACAAAGGAACTGCTGTGGCAGAGTGCTGCCCCCTTGTGGACATCTTTGTGCAGCACACTGCCTACCTGTCTGCCTGAAGTGCTGGTTTTGCAGTAGTTGGATGACTGCTACCTGCACAAACAGCACTTTTGGCACCCAGAGGCCGAGATGGAATCTAATTGTAAAAACCACTCATTCTGGAAGTATGAGCTTGTTTTCTTTACAGTATAAAAGTATGTTTAGGAAGCTGAAGCACAAAATACATGCTAACCATTCATGAACACATTTACTCACATCTGATTCACTACCATCAAGTCACTGGGAGTGATGAACTGTATCATGTGTTTGGCAGATTGGTGATCTTTTGTCCAGCGTGGGAAAGAAGTGCTCACACTGCAGTAGGCCAGGTTATCATCACTACCTGCACTGTAAGCACTTTATCACACACTGAAGCAGTGATAAAGGACCGCAGAAAGACGAAAACAATAACTCAACTTCAATAACAAGAGCTGCACCCAGACATTCACCCCATAACCTACTTGTAACAAAAGCAGCTTTAGGGTTTCTTTTAGGACAAGTGGCCTGTAAATGTTTGCAGCCATCAACAGCAAATGGAGGTGTAGTTCTCACCAGGGCAGTGGCGAGGCGGAGAATGGAGAGCAGGGTACGGGCAGAGGTGAAGGTGGTGTCTTTACTGACTCTGGCCTCTTTCCTCATTTCCACATAAGCAGCGGTGATGTAATCAGCCAGTGACTCTGGGATCACAGGCTGTCGCTTCTTACACAGAGCAATGTAACGCCTGAGGGAATCATTTCAGACAATATGAATGCACTGAGTAGTTTTAACAATGGACTCATAAGCTGAATACTGTCTGGGGTTAAAGTAAAGAGTTGTTAAATGTAGCAGTAAATCCCTCAAACATTTTCATAATGAAGCCAGAGTAACCAAACTTTTCTCCTACAGACCTCATCAGCTTCATGTCGATGGGGGTGAAGTGAGTGGGTGGCTGGCGAGAGTGCTGGTGGACGTAGGTGATGTGCTGGGCCAGACGCAGGTCGGCGTCAGCGTCTGGCTTGTCCTGGATCAGCCAGAGCAGGTCAAAACGGGAGAGGAGAGCAGCCGGCAGCTGAATGTTCTGCTCAATGCTCTTCCTGGGATTGTAGCGGCCATAGGCGGGGTTGGCTGCAGCTAGAATAGAGCAGCGGGCATTGAGGGAGGTCATGATGCCAGCCTGGAGGGGAGAGAAGCAGTGGTTTACTTATGCTTCACAAATGTTACATTTGAAGATAACAATAGCATAATTAAGCCTCTGGCTGCCACTACAAGTTCAATTTACCTTTGCAATGGAAATGGTCTGCTGTTCCATGACCTCATGGATGGCTGTGCGGTCAGTGTCGGCCATCTTGTCAAACTCATCAATGCAGCAGATACCCTGGTCAGCCAGCACCAAAGCTCCACCTTCCAGAGTCATCTCTCCAGTCAGGGGGTCACGCATAACCGCTGCAGTCAGACCGACACCGGATGATCCACGGCCGGTGGTGTACTGGCCTGAAAACCAGAGAGGGGACGGGAGAAAGTACTTACATGAATAAAAAAAAAATCATATGGCAAAGGTGTACATGTGTAATGGTATTAGCAAATATTAATATACAGGCATCAGGGCCTCACAGTGGTAACTAAAGTTTAACCGACTTTGTTTCCTGAATCATTCTAGCGTCCAAAACATGGCATTAAAAACCAGCTTCTCTAGTCAGCCCATCACATCAAGTTAATATTTTACTACGTAGCCCTAATGAAAAGAAAACACCTTACTGGATAAAATATTAAACCAGATGCAGGACTTGTACTCACTTCGAGGAGCCAGACGATCAATGTAGGACAGCAGCTGGGACTTGGCGACTCCTGGGTCTCCCATCAGACAGATGTTTATGTTGCCTTAAAATGACAAGCCAGAGCAGGAAGAGTGTTTATGTTGTACTGGAATTATATTCAGAAGTGTCTGTATATTTTTGACCTGCCCATTGACATACATGAGGGTCAGAATATTAGGAACACCTCTGAATATAATGTAGTCCAGTACAACACCAGCTTTAACTATGACCTCAATAATGGACATATAATTGAATTTATACATTTGACATTCTCACCAAAAACAAACATTTTGAGCTTCATAAACACAAATGTTAAGGCAGAGTGTTGCACTGAAGTGCATACAGATGTACAGCTGGTCATAACGTTATGCCCAATCGGTACATGTTCATATCTACTAAAAGATATTAATATGGCACCAAGTACAACTGGCTTTGTTATTTATGTCCATTTGTGTTTTCTAACTTTGATGCCCTGCTGGAAAACAATTTTAGACATGATGCAATCAGCAGCATTACCGCTTTTTGTTTTGGTGGTTAATATTTAGCAACAACTTTTATTTCCCTCCAAGATAAACAGTCCATACTTGGTTAAGGGGTTCAAGTGAGTCCTCACCTCTGATTTTCATGCCTCTAGGTGCCTGTTCGACTCCTCCAACCAGCAACAGAAGAAGGGCCTTTTTGACATCTTCATGTCCATAGATCTCTGGTGCTATTGAACCAGCTAGTTTTTCATAAAATCCTTCATCTGCAGAGAACACAGTCACACTTCAGATTCGATAAGAGTGTATTGTAATGTCAAGTTTCACCTAAAGAGACACTCTACCTGTGATGTTGTGCAGCTCCTCATCAGTCAGCTCCTCGTTACCGAGCTCATCGTCCTCTGATTTGTTCATGAGGGTGATGCTGTGGGCCTCCAGGTAAGTCTCTGACAGAAGACCCTAACATAATATTTTATTATGAATTTTCTTATAGTTTGAGGTGACCTGCTGTCAGGGTTGCAAAAAAGACAAAACAAAAAAATACCTACATCCAAAATTTGTCAGAAGCAACTTACTTGAACAGCCTGTCTGAAACCTGTGCGCAGAAGAGGGAGGAAGACGCCAGTGATGGCTACATGGTCTCCTGGCTGGGCGAGACGTGTGTTTTCTCCACGGGCGTACACCGTCATGCTCCTTGGAATATTACCAACAGGCACCTGGTCACTCTGTGGAACAGCAGAAGAAACTTCATTAAATACAAACTTAGTCTATGAGGTGACTTTTTATCGTGTACAATTCATGTCACTTACATGTTCCTGAATACGCAGCTCCTGGAATTTAACAAATTTGGAGCCTCTGGTCTGTATATAGAGACGACCTCCAGATTTGTTGGTGACACACTCTTGGCTGGGACACATGATGAGGGGCATGAAGGAGGGAGACTGGATCTGAAGGACAAGACATGAGGGACACCAGATCAATTTCAATCTTGCCACAGGATCTAAATGATTACAGGATTAAACTTAGCCTTACTGGTTGATAGGTCTCAGCACCACACTGGTCACATGTGTAAGTAGCCACAGCCATCATTGGTTTGACCTCAGTGGCGCGGGTCACTATGCCTCGAACCGCCACCAGCTGACCGATGCTGTCAGCTCGTACGTCACGCACCACTTTAGGTTTAGCTATGGTGGGAGATTTGAAGTACAGTTCACTGTGAAGAAAGGAAAGACGGACAATTCATCCAAAATTATTAACATTTAAACATGTCAGATTTATAATAAGTATTGAGACATTCAAAAATAAGTCTTTTCTTGTAAGAAAACACCAAAAATTCCTCTGATAAAGATGCACTTTACACAAACATAAGTTTATGCAAATATTATGGAAAAGTAACAGTGTCACATTTAATAAAAATCTATGTGAAAAATAAAAATTCAACCATGAAACAGTCAACTTACAATCTCCTCATGAGTTCAGCTGGGTATTGGTTACGAGGGTCTCTAGTGTCTGCAGGGTCACGGCTCCTCTGTTCCATCATCAGCCTGTGCTCAATGTACACATCCAGGGAATCTTTGGCCACAATCTGGAAATGAAAACACATTTGTGCATTTCCATGTCACTAAACAGGCGTGCAATGGATGCATCAATACTTTAACTGTAAAAAGTAGTTGAGAAAAGAAAATTACACCACGATTAGGAATCATTTGTTGTACTCTATTCACCACAGTTTATATTCTAATCAATATGCTTTGACTTCATTTAAAACTCATACAGGATCAACTGTTCAAGTACACATACATCTCTTTCTTTGTATTCGGGCAGCAGCTCATGGACAGCATCGGCAAACAGTCCTGTGTAGCGTTTGGCATTCTCACAGATGCTCTCAACCAGCTCGGGGTCTTCCTCAGCCACATCGTCCAGTTCCACAAAGAGAGCCACCTGCTCCCTGTGAGCCAGTGCCACCTGTACATACAGACAAGCCATGTAATAATTAAAACAACATTGTTCAGTAACACAACAATAACACCTCTACACTTCCACAAACTTGGGTAGGCTGTGGCAACACACCCCGGTATAGGTTTACAGCCCGATGCGATTAAAATGACCAGCGCATTCTGCAAACACACGAGGGGCATTTTCTGCCTATATAGGAGATATTGGCCGCACCACTCTTACACCCAAGGGACAGCTCCTATGTGTTGTGTGATTATACAGTTGATCATTTCTGGCTTAAAAAAGTATTTGTTCAAAGAACTTCAGCCTCTAGATTTGAAAGCACTTGGCTTAGCAAAAACTGATAAATTACTGGCCACAGGGGCAAAAAAAAGAGTGGGGTATAAGAAAACACAATTAAAGAGGACAAAAGAAAAACACTGCTCTACCATATATCAACTTTTTCCCCACCAAATATGAAGCTTAGTGAAAACATGCCCATCACTTTGAAAGCTAAGCCAGTTTGTACTGTTTGTTTACTATACTTACAAGCTGAGCTCCATATTTGAAGACCTTCTTCCCACTGTCATCCTCTGTGTAAAACTCCTGCAGGAACCTTTTGCATTTGTCTACAAAAGCAAACAAATACCTCCATCATTATTTCACAGTAGAAAAACAGAGGCCATTTCCAGCAGGTAGTATGGGGCATTGTTAGCTATATATACACACACACATACACACACACACACAAAGACTTCACTGTTTAGTGAGATTACCTTTCAATTTGCTTAAATAACAAAAGGTGCCTTCTAGTTTTAAAGCTCCTGAAAATGTTAATGTACACCACCGTCAGTGGGCCTGCACACTGGGAGCTAATTTGTCATCCTGTTAAGACTCCCTTTGTTGAGTAACACGGCATCCTGTAATCTCGATGAGTCACTATTGCTATTGCCTCCAGTGAAGCACAAACTGCCACTGACGTGCTGCACGAACAACATTCTGCTCCAGGGAACCTGCATTTATAATTTTAGAGTTAAAACCCTAACGTTACGCAGCAGATAGCTTCGGGGTAAGAATGCAAACACAACAACAGGCGCGCTCAGTTCAGTGTCCATTTTTTTAGGGAAATATCCGTCACTTCTCGGAACAGCCACAACTAACAATATCTAATTCTACCCTACAAGAATCGAAACTTGGCCTAACACTACGATCAAAATGCTCTACTTACATGAATGCTGTCGTAGAAAATACGCAGCTGTGGTTTTTTATTTCTCTGTTCGAGGATGTTATTGTAAACAAAGCAGCACATGGCTTGTGTGCCTCGTCACTGTGATATCCCTCCGCGATCCCTCCGCTCTTAAAACTAATCCCACTGTTGTTTTCAAAACCACTGCCAGCCATCTTCTAACGTTAGCTCGGGTTAGCCCGAGTCCTGTTATATTACAACAGCTCTATCGACATTAGCCACTCTTTTAACATACGAACTCGTTAAGTGATGGTTGACAACGTGTATCGCTTAAGGTTTTAGACAGTTGATACACTCCGACCACAACTTCAACACTTCGATGCAGCGACCGTACATTAATCGGGCAATTTTAAAGTTTTGATTTAAATTAAAGGGAAACTACATATCCAAATAAACTGTAGTTGAGCGACGTTAACTAAGCAGCGCTGAGTGACTTACTTTTAAAAGAAGACCACGGTTACGCTGCCTTACAAATCCTAACACACTTTTGGACCGTATGTTGTAAATATGCGGGGGAAGTAGGGAGGATATAACGTTATAGTAAATATAAATTAAGCTCTTCGAACAAACAAAAAGCCAAAAACGTTGTGAATTTAAACACAGAAACCAGCCCCTTTGACGTAGCTTTTAGTACCTTAACTTACTAGCAGTTCATTAAAACCGTCAGCATTATTACACTTGACTAATAGTGGGCTAAAGACAGCTAGCTGGCTGGTTAGCATGCTAAGGTAACGCAAGTTGGAGCCGTTAATGTTAACTTAGTTCATGGACGATTAAGCAGTGGACGAGTAGCTGAGTTAAAGGACGCTTGAGATGTCCATGAAGGGTTTAACGTGTGCATTGTAGTGTTTGAGTTAAAAGTGCAAAATTCCACAGTTTAGCTAACAATACGTTCAAAAATGCTTAATGTTACGTTACTGTTTCGCCGCTTGAAATCAAGGGATAACAGGCATAACAAGCTAGCAATATAGCGTAAACATTTTACTTTAACATTAATGATACATTCTCACAACCTTAACGTCAACTAACGTTTGCCTTTTCCCTCTCATGTCAATCTGTCTTATCTCAAACCTCGTCTGAGTAACTTTTAAAACGTGTTGAACATGTCAGAATTTTACAGCCACTTTTCTACAATCGCTTTGTCGAGAGATGTGTTAAATGTTAAGACATTAAAGAATAAAACGAGCACGTAGTGTCGACTTTCTAATCGCAATACAAGAAATTCCGCTCTGTCCGCATTAGCTTACCAGCTTTAGTGCAACTTATTGTTAGACATGTGCTTGCACACTGGCGCCTGCTCCTTTGTCTAAGCGTATCCATCCGGGTCATCAGCGGCAGTCACAAGCTTACAGACAACGCTTAAAGTTTGTACAACTGCAAGGTGAACACCAGCCTTCATGCCTTGGGTTTAATTAACTGTAACAGTTAGAACATACAAACTAGCGTGCATACCTTACAGGATTGTACTTTAACGCAAATCTAAGCAAAGTTAATGCCGAGGAGACAGACTACACAAAATAATACATTAACAGACTTTATACACACCCAATGCGCACGGTGGTTAACGTTAACACATTTCCAAAGAGCATTTTTAATAGAATAACGTTACAGTAAGTCAGAAGTTTAGTCATTTAATCCAACCTGTTGCTGCCATGCTGTTATTGTGAAAGTTAACCTCTTACCTTTCTCTGCCTCATAATCCTTAGGAGCCATGGCTGTACACGTTGAACCTCAGGACTGATAATTTGATTTTAAAGTCCTAACGGCCCCGCAGAACAACAAAAAATGCAGCTTAGATGTACGTTTTAATCACTTCTCTATCAACGGAGACCAGTATTCATTCACTTGAGTTTTCCCCAGCTCGCGGTGCAAGTGGCGCGAGTGTGACGTATACAGCAGCCAATCAGGTCACTTGTTTTTGCTGGGAGAGGCAGGATTTTGTGGCGGCGCGAAAGTTGCGAAGGGTTCTTTGTCACGTGACTCTACAAACTTCCGCCCTGTTTGTCAAGATTGGCGCGAAAGGCTTTGATTGGATTTCATATGAGAGAACAACCCCAGGACGAAGTTAGCGTTGCCCAGTACTCGGCTGATTTGGGGGTGGGGGATAATATGACCCTCCAAAGTATAGGACCCCTTAATGAAACTATCAACCATATATTTAGTCTTAGTTCTATATTAACATGTCTTTTTTTTAAATCACAAATATAAACACAAGCTGCTCATTAAGAGTAGAAATTAGGCTATAGCAAGTACTATCAACATGGAACCCTGTCAGTTTTGTACTTCATTTCATCACAAAACGTTACTGGAAAAAGAAAGCACAACACTGAGCATAAGCTATTATACCAACAACCAATCTTTTTTTCTACCTTGTGTATATATTTGTATTATTTAGGCACTATATGTATCACTGTCACACCTTTTCTTGTGATCATATTAAAGACATACACTGATATTCTGCTCAATTAAGTATCTTTTATTAAACATTAAATTCAAAAGTGCTTATAATAAACAAAAGGTGCCGTCAACAACAGTGCCAAGTGGAACACAGACGGAGAGACTAAGTTTCCAGTAGAAAAGTATCAAACTAAACATTTCTTTTTAGCTGGAATATTTCAGAAATGTGAGCATCTGAATGGCTGCTCTGTGTATTCAAAACACAAACACTTCTAACAGTGAATAATAAAGGTTTTTATAATCATTATTCTGACTTTTCCATCCAAGTAAATGAGTGACAGAAATGAAATTGAGTAAAGTCAGCAGTGAGTCATTAAGAAGACTAGATGGTTCAAATATTTATCACACTTAGATGTACTGAAAGTACTACAGCACACTAGTGTTAGAGAGATGTATTAATCACGCAGTGTTCACCAAGATGGTTCACCTTTCTCTGTCTTCAGTCAAAGAGCTCATCAAGGACACTTGCAGAAGTGTGCCGTGTGGATGGCTGCAAAACAAAAACAAGATGAGACTGACAAGAATGTGGTCTTTAAGGCTGATTTAAAACATATTTCCAAAAAAAAAACACCTCACACAAACTGTGTCTACAAATAATGAACATATATATTTATTCATTGTATTTTGGTGGTAGTAGAACTGCTGCTGTAATGTTCAATTATGAACCTATAGTTAGCTCCACAAATCACCAGTACAATATCTTTCAGTTATAGCCCAGATGACCTAGCCCAAAAAGTAACACAGCAGCAGTGTATTATAACTTAAACTGAGTATGTAGAGTTGAGTCAGAACATTGTAAATACACAAATTTAATCAAAACCAAACCTTCAAATCTCAATAGACAAATGTAGGATGTGAAGCTGAGTCATCTATGCAAAGTACCGTATATTTCATTTAAATGATTCTCCAAACTGGTTCTAAAATGGTATTATCGAGATTTTCTGTTTTTACCAGTGTGTAAGCAGATTCATGGTCAGAGTCGCTTTCATAATCTTCGATCTCAGCCTCCTCTCTTTCTGCAGCCTCACCCTCAATCAGGGACAATCTGTGGAGAACAGTTCATTCAAATGTAATTATTCTTACCTGATATTAGCCATCACAAAATGAGAACAATATTCATAGTCTTAAAAAATATTAGTTGTGAAACAGCTGGTGTTCTCAAAGGTCAGTCTTACAAGATGAGGTGGGAGTCCAGGTCTTGCTGAGCCAAACCTGGGCCAGTCAGGCTGGGAGAGAGCTGGTGTCGTTTGGTGGGTTTCACCTTACGCATCTGTGACCTGGTGAGCAACAACAGCAGCCAGTATTTTTTTTAACTGCCATGAAGTCTTTCTCTCATGATTTTATAAACTCTAGCTGGCTAGAAAAATGATACCGAACACACAGTGAACCTTATTTTCTATCTACATAATGTATCTGCATGGTTTTGAGCAAGAATCAACAGTGAGAAAGATTACTCTACATACAGCCTTTATTTCATCAGCCTAATCCAAAAAAAAGAAAAAGTCACAAAGGTTTCTGCTGTTGCAACATGTGCAAAAAAGAATTAGCTTTTTCTTCTAAATGACAAAATGACTGGTTTATTCCCAAACTGACCAGCTTTTTTGGCAAGGAGCACTGCACAAATTGTTCATTCAGGACAGAACAGAAAATGGGTGGCTGGTAAATGGTAGACAGACAGAAGAGAATTCACTCTTGGCAATTTCCAAGCATTTGGCTGGTGCCTGGCAGTAATCATGAACCTCTGAAATAGAGATGATAGATATTGCAAATGTGTTGATGATAAAACTAAACCTACCCTGAGGAGAACTCATCCTCTGACTCTGTTAAGCCGCTGCCAATATCAGACTCTGTGGCTCTGGGTTTCCTTGAAGCCAGCTGCTCGGCTGGCAGTCTCAGGACAGTGGAGGTGAGGGCTGGGGTGTGCACGCTGTCAATGTTGCTGCTGTTGTCCAACCAGGATCCTCTGGCGATGCTGGACACTGAATCTGGAGAAGACAGAAGGTTAATAATTACTAACTTTATGTTTCACAAAGTAAAAATTGTTACAAAACTATATGGTTCTGTACACAAACTATATAGAAAGATGGAGGATGTGACAGCTTGCAAGAAGGAAAGACAATTCAGTCGCCCCCTGGTGGCTGGCTGCAATATAGGTCATAAACACTGGCCCTCTAATGTTAGCACATAGGACATGAGCCAAACTACTAATACAAGTGAAAATCAAATATATTTATCACACTGATTTGTGTATAAGTGGTCATTTTTCCACTAGGTCTGTTTCTGCACATTATTTGATGATGTAAAACAATTCAGATGACTGACAGCTTTGATTGACAGGCTGATACAGAGGTTCTGGTCTCTGCTGCACAGAATCTGGCTGCCAAAGGATCACAGCAAGATGGCTGCCCAATATTTGCAATATTTTGGCTTCACTTAAGCACAGTGGCATGAAGTGGGCATTTATTTTTATATACCTACAGTCTACTCACACACACACACACACACACACACACACACACACACATATATATATATATCTTGAATTGTTTCAATTTATTGAGCAAAAAGCAATAATTAAAAACATTTGGTAGCTACAGCTTCTGAAATCTGAAAATGTGCTGTTTTTCTCTGTTTTATATCATTGTACAGTAAAATGAATTCTTTTGGACTATTGGTTGCACATAACCACTTTGAAAGGTAGGATGACCAAACTCCAGCAACACACTCTGACTCACCTGGGTAGAGAGGAAATCAAACAGTCTTCCTACACATTCCCTAAATCATTTCCACAGCACATATTTTAAGTACTAACATTAATACGTGTTGTGTATCAAAATAGGCTTTACAGGCCACGAAATTTGACCCTAGTTTTCAGTGGCCGTCAATGTGCTTAATAGAAACATACAGCCAAAACAAAGATAAGCAAAGATAAGCAAATAAAAAGATATGACTCTATACATATAGTTACAGGTTCATATTACACTATATCCAATATAGCCACTGTGGAGTGTTTCTGTGTAGCATGTGTCCATCTCACCCTGAGCAGTGGTCTTTTTGCGTTTAGCTACAGGGATATCAGGTGAGGAGACAGCATCACCCCCTCCCTCCTGTTCTCTGGGTTTAGATGAAGCACGAGCTTGCAAAGAACGCTGATACAGCCTGAGTGGCGGCAGGGAAAGGGCAGCACTGGGACACTCTGATTCCAGAAACGCAGCCCTGGGAGGGGACGACATAGTGATAGAGGGATACGGACAAAGACCTAGGAAACCTTTGTTTGAGTTTACTGGTTCTGTAAATTACTGTGAATCAAATTTGATCTATTTCAATCTATGCACAAACTACAGTGACATTTAAAAGTATTTTCTCTGACAAGCTCAATGTTACATTTGAGCAGCTCAAGCTCACAGTTTGGAAATTTCTTAACTTAAAAAACAGATTTTATTCCAGGTTTCCTAAAATGCAGAAGCTGCTTTACCAGAAATCTGCTAAAACATTGGCACTGGTCTAGGGCAATTAACTTTCCCGTTTCCAGCGTAACAGTGAGTGTGGATGAGTGTTACAGTTGCTCACAGCTGGGCGCAGTCCTGTGGCAGCAGCTTGAAGCTGAACTCGCTCAGGATCTCCAAGAAGGCCACATTCACATGGCGCTCCTCTCCCTCCTGTGGCTCCCGAAACGCAAAACGTATGCCGTCCCTGAAAACAAACCGGACACACTGTGTGGATATAACATAAACAGGTATGGTGTAAAAATACTTCATGTTTGATTTATATCCTTCACTTTTCAATTCATTACCAACTCTGTTGATTTGATTATCATGCAAGTGGGAATGGGTACTACATTTCTTTTACATTCACGAGCAACAGCTGGGGCAGCCTAAAAGCAAACTTCACAATGTAATATAATGAAATAAAAATCCAGTAAACTGATAATATGACAGATCTGTTGTGTATGTGTCAGAAAAGTGTGCTACTGACATATGCAGAGCCACCAGTGGTTTGCGGATACGGTTGAGATCGATGCCAAAACTCATGGCAAACTTCTTGGCCAAGTCTCTAATCTCAAGGAGATCCTGCCTGCTGTGGTCCTCTGTAAGCATCTCTGAGAACAGCTGAACACACACAAACAAGACTTTACACAAACCTGTAAATGAAATGGCATGATATTCAAACAGTTCTATAGATATGGTCAAACTGATTTATACTACATATTATGTCAATGTTGCAATAAATGTACGCATGCCATGTATTCATTAAAAATTCATCACTATCACACTGCAAGAATCTAAATATGAACATTATTATAAAAGACACACCTGCTGCAGACTCAGACAGAGCATCTTGGCATTTTGTACAGGACTGATGAGCTTGCACCTGCTCATAGTCTCTTTAATGATGTCACCAAAGTCTTTAAAGAACTGGAGAAACCGGAAAATCAAAAAAAAAAAAAAAAAAACTTCAGTCATGATCATTAGTCTGTGTAACTAACAGCACAGCTACATGTCTAAAATATAAAAATCCACTCTCTTCTAGTCATCAGTTCTACTTTTATCCACTGTTTGACTCATTCTTAGCACCTCACTGGTTTAAAACAGATTTTCTCACACTCCTCCACTCTCCTACACATCCTCTTCATTATTAATTTCTTCCACTTGCCAAATTTGCTTCCTGTGTTCCTTACCCAATTAATCTCTCTAAAGAATGACTAATGGAACTACAAATTTAACATTTTCTAAACTCACTAATTTAACTATCAACCAATTTTGCTGACGTGCATACCACCGTGACATGGCCAACTGCTGAATATAAATATATAAATGTGACTATAATAAACAGTATATAAGATATATTAGGACAATAAACCTAATGAATCCCTTAAAGTCCTGATCTCCATCCCCACCTTGCTGTAGTGCTTCAAGACATCTGTGGCAGCAGTGAGGTCCAGCACCCCATAGATGACCAGCTTACAGTAGCCAGCCAGTTGGTTGCGTTTTCTCTGGAGGAGAATTATCTTCATCTCATCATCATCCTCATCTAGAGAAAAAAGTCAGGGTGTAGGAATGAGAAGGGAAAGGAGAGGAGAGGAGAAGACAGGGCAGCAACAAATCAATAGTTATTTTGAGAAATGTAGGCAGGAGAACCAGAGAAAAAGCTTTCATGTGTTCATAAGACACAAGAAAAACTGATTTTGAGATGAAAGACTAGTATATATCTTGGGAACTGGCAGTATATTGTGAAATACAGAAAAAAATGATTAGTTATCAAAGACTCAAGAAAAAAAAAACAAAAAAAAAACATGGAAAACATTGTCTGCAGGCATAAATGAGGGTAGGGCCCTCTGAGACAGCCTTGGCTGTGTTTGAACAGTCTAAACTCATCTACAGCCTTTTCCTACCATTATTATTCAGTGGTTCAGACATGTACAGTATCATATCTGCAACAGTGTTGTCACTTTGTCAACACAGGCTCAAAATGCTTCTGGAAAGCACCATTTAAGCACCAAACATTTACTAAGAGTGGGTGTTATTTTGTCAGTTCATGTCAGAAAGGATTTTTCTATTATAGGAACCTATCTGAAGCGTCGGTCGCCGGTGATTGGTTAAATGTCTATGTCTTCATAACTCAAGCATTAGCATTACAAGCATCATGTGTAAACACAAAGCTCACTGTGTGTGTGTCAGGGGAGCAGCCCCTCCCTCCTCTAAACAGACTGACAGAGAAAATCCATTGGAAAAACAAAGCAGGATGGTCTGCATGAACTCTGGAGGCTATGCTTGGTGATGGGTTTCAATATGGAGCAAAAGTACCATTGAGGTCAGCATCTTCACTATCAGTGAAGACGTAGTCCAGCAGGAAAGCAGCCAACTCCGCGCGCAGGGAGTCAGACGGCAGATAGACCAGTGTTTCAAGAGCTGGTTCAGAGCGGACCGCATTCACGCTGTACAACAGCAACATGTCACACAGCAGCACAAATGCCTGTGGACGGACAAAGACATTTTTAGAATGCACTGTCTCTAAAGTCAACTCTGTAACACTAACATTAGGATGATGAAGTCGTCAGCTTATCAACATCTTGGAGGCTTAGTTAGGTTGCCTATCTGTGTCAAATCTCAGGAATAACATCTCACTGATTTTCACTGAAAGAATTCAGCTTCTTATGATCTCAGTTCAAAATGATATTGCTACAGTCCTAGTTCACATGTGTAACATTAACTCTACCTATCTGCATTTATAAAAATATAAATGTTTAATAAATGGTTTCTAATGCACTATAATGTAGTCATAAGTAGATCTAAGTGTAAGACTACCCCTTCCAGGTACAGACTACTCTATGAAACGCAATAAATGACAATAATAAAAAATATATATCTTCATAGGAGAGGTTATATTTTCTGACAAATTCTGCACATTAATAAACTCTCAAAATTACCCAACAGCAAACAGTATAACCGTGTGAAATAAACCATTTCTTATATCTATGTATACTGCTAATAAATGTTAAATGTATTGCAAGGGGCAACCGCTGTAACAAAGCTCAAAGCGTACCTCATCTCTGATCTCAGTCTGGTTCAGAGACAGACATGTCTGACAGACTCCGCAGAACGAACGCAGCTCCTTCTTCAGATGCTTCAGTTCTGCCTGGAACAGAGGGCGATACCAAAGCTAGGTTCACATTACAGGCCTTAATGCTCATTTCTGATTTTTTGTCATTATGATCTTTTCATGTTGATGGTTCACATTCATGTTTGCAAGTGACATGTATCGATGTCCTAAGCTGCCACGCATGCATGTTCAAGAACTATGTCATTTGTTATTGTTCTATTTGTATCCTCTGTAAGGCAGTTTATGAATTCTATTTTAGAAGTAAAGTTTACTATTATCCAGTTTGACTTGATCAAAAGTTTCTTCATAAATGTCCAACAAAAGTGAAACGTTCTTGTCTTCACCGACCCCCGTCACTGTTGTTGCTCTCCTCCATGTTCATTTTTACCCATGTGTGAGGGGTAAACACTGAGTGACGACAAGAGGCGATATGTGCAGAGGAGTGCGATGTTAATAAAACCACGTGAATTCTGATCTGACCATTCTGACAGTGGTCTCATGGCCCGAGTTCAGATATAAATTGGATCTCACACCACATACAGAAATAACACAGCCTGAGTTGGGGGGGGGGGAATCTGATTTGGTTTGTTCAAAGATAAAATCTGATCACACGGGGACAAAAATCAGAATGTAGTTTTAGAGTGCTCAAGATGGAATCTGGCTGCCAATGCCTTCCTGTTGTAAAAGCAGTTATGACCAAAGACAAAATGATTAGCCACAGGCACAATTCACCAACATCTGTTTGCCATTATCATCCTAAATTACACATCGCATATTTCACACAAGCCAAAACTCATCAATTTGAGTGATGCTACAAAGCATGAAAACATACAAGGAATAAAAATAATCTGCCCATGTTTTCTCAGGAACCCTGTTTAGGAAGCTGCGCAAATTGCTGCCTAAATAACGACACGCTCAGTGAGTGTAAAAATGAGGGAGAGAAAACCAGCACAAAAAGTGAAAATGAGCAGAAGAGACGAGAATGAAAAAGTGAGAAAAACAATGAGAGAACAAATACGTAAAGAGAAACAATATGAAACAGTTTGAGCCAGTGGGAAATAAATATGACTTCCACTGTAGGCTCCAAAGCACACTACCAGATTGTTGTGTTAATTGCCTGCTGCCTGTACAGCTGGTGAATAGTTGAACAACACAGATGAGAAGAGCACTACAAACACAGGAAGGCCACAAACACGGCCAGCATGGGTTGGCCTGCGATGCAACAGCCATTGTGATGTATTGATCATGTCGTCCATCTCATCTCCTGCAGCTGGGTTGATGCTCCCAGGAGCCAAGTTAGTGTGTGAATGGCTGAGAGAAGGTCAGACTAGTTGTACACATGGAAAGGAGGAAAAAAAAAAAAAACCTTAGCTCTTTCATAATGTCAGATGAGCACCTCAGCTGGCTTGGAGTTGACCGTGTTCCTTTTGGCCCACATCAGGTGGTAGGCTGCACATTTCAAAGCCGACACCATGAGCTGAAATCACACAGAGACATGTTAAAATCATCTTTGTAGAGATTTTGGTGTAATGTACAAAAATATATACCATTGAACTCCTCCAAGCTGATTTTTATCTGTAGTACAGGGAACTGTAATGAACCACTGTGAATGTCTGGATAAAAATATTCCCTTTAAGATAAGGAGCAAATGTCCAAGCTTTGCAGTGGTGGAAAGTAACTAAATTCATTTACTCAAGTACGGTGCTTATGTACAGTATTGAGGTCGTTGTACATTGAGTGTAAAAGTGATCTTATTTCCATTTTCTGCTACTTCATACTTTCACAGATGCCGCGCTGTAAATATTGTACTTTTTACACAAATAAATTTGTTTAATAACTTTAGTTTCTTTTCAGACCCAGATTAATACAACAAAATACAGTATAATCATTAGACTTTATTGATCCCCGCTGGGAAATTCACAAGCTACCGAGCAAGTACTTCAAATTATAAATATATAAGGTAATTAACATTAGATCCAACTTCATCAGGTGCAACATTAGTGATAAGCATCAGTAATTATAATGCAATAATATGATGTGCAGTGATGTGAAATGTGGCATTCTGCATAATGACTACTGTTAATTTTGCTACTGTTCATTTGACTTCATCAAATGCTACTTTTTATCCACCCTTCAGTTGTGCAGTGGCAGTGTAGAGAGAAATTCAACTTCATGGTGCATATTATGGCATTTCTGTATTTTTGTTACATTCCCATTCTAGTTTATTACAAAGAAAAGTCAGCTCTCTGGGATTTGAACCAAATGAAGTTAAGACCTGTATTATCACAACAACAAACATTATTACAAACATCTTGCAAGTCTTCATGTAGGAGTCAGTCGGTTATCCTAAACTCATCTGCTGCTAATTCAAAGTGAAGCAGAAAGACTCATCACTGGCACCAGAGGAGAGACCACATTTCTCCTGTACTGGCCTCCCTCCAATGGTTACCAGCTAAATATAGAGCTGATTCTAAGATTCTTTTATAATTGCATGGTGAAGCGCCAGCTTATACATTTCCGACTTCCTCATTCTACATCCAGACCCCTCAGATCAGCTACTCCTCTCTGTTCCAATCTGCTTCCACACTGAGGACCACTTCACTCGTCAGTGTCAGATCCTCTCCATGTTTTGTGACTTTTAAAGACACACAACCCCCGTAATTATAACCCTAACAATGTTATATTGTTATCTAACTAATATATAATCTCATAAAATTAAATAAAATAACTGAATCTTTAGATTTGCTTGTGTTTTTTCAATCTGTATTTTTATCTCCTGTCATTTTTAGACGTGTCCTATAAACAAATCTGACTTGACAAACCTCCTTGTTGAGCTCTCTAGACTCCACCCTGCTCTTCAGCAGTTCAAGACAGGAGCCAAACAGCTTTGAGCCTGTTGGGTCTTTGACACTGAACAAGCATATACACAAAACGCTCAGTCAGAAATCAGCAGAATAGTTTGTACTTCTCCCACCATGTGTATTGAAGGACGCACACTTGCCTGCTCAGGGCAGCAATCCTTTTCAAGGCAGTAGCTGCACAGTATACATCATCATCATCTGCAGTGCCCTGTGTACACAAGCACACACTGCTGAGAATGCTTTCCACTCTGGACTTTGTTTTACTTAAATAAAAAAAATTAAAAGGCAGGATGGATGCACAAACCGCTACTTCTACTGCTGACAACACTTTAAGAGCACATGTGTATGCTTTAATACAAGTATACAGGCTACACTGACATGCTCACCTACCTGTATCAGGTCCCCTAAGTAAGTGTTGAAGCACTCGTACAAGCCATCCAACAGCTGGCTGAATGCCAGATTTGCACGAGAGGAGAAGGTGTAGCGGTCGGAGCAAAGGGAGCTGGCCAGGAGGGCGCAAGCCTCCAACACAGTGACCTCAGTGTGCTTCTCCACAATGCCACATACCTGGGACAGCAGCAGGTCCAGATGCTGGGTGGCATGAAAGAGGAAAGGTGGGGATAGAAGAGCAGACAAAAAAAAAAAAAAACAGAAAAAGTAGAACATGCATGTATTGCTTGGAGCAATTTTATTTAAAGTCAACCAGATTTGTCAGAAACGCTGATTTGAAGAAGGGGTTAATTATGGAATCCTAATAAAATGTTCAAGAATGCAGGCTGCTCATATTAATCAGTGCATTTAAAGGCCAGTCCACAACAGTGTAAAACACCTTGTGTTGGTGAAATTGGACATGCAATGATTTTTCACATTCCAGTACAACAGTTTGTCCACTCTGAGCATAAGAACATGAACATGACTAGCTCAGTTATATTGTGTACAAAAGTTTTTTTCTGCTGATAAATGTCCCTTTACAACAGAATGAAGTCTCT